CACTACAGTCACTGTTTGTTGTGGCTCCTGGTTTTTGTGGGTCAGGAATTACAGAACAATCAGGCTGCATGGCTCTGCCTCAGGCTCACAAACCAGGTGTCAGCCTAGGGCCCAATCACAACTATGGTGGGAGCAGTCGTTTCCAAATGCCTGGTGAGATAGTACAGATTGCTACTGGACCCCGTAGACATCTCTACAGAGCCCTGGTGTGGCGCTGCAGGATTAGCATTGGACTGCTAACTACAAGTCACTGATTCAAACACACCAGACACAGAAACCCTAGACAGGGTCACAATAAGTCAGAAGCAACTCCAGGGCACTTGACAACAATAAAAAAATCTCTCTATTTCCAGAGTATTATTTTCAAATGACAATAGGCTTCCTTCCCATCAAGAGAGTAAAGGTAGACATGAAAATGCCTTTTATGACCTTGCCTTAGAAAGTCACACACCATTGTCATTTAAGCTGTATGCTATGTTGTTGTTGTTAAGTGCCGTGAAGTTGATTCCGACCCATAGCGACCCTGTATAGGGTTTTCAAGGAGCAGTTGGTGAGCTTGAACCACTGACCTTGCAGTTCAAATGACTTTGCAGTCTGATGCATTAGCCCGCAGCGCAACACCAAAACTCAGCAAACTGTACACTGGATCTGTGCATTTAGTTGTTGTTAGGTGCCATTGAGTCTGTACCAACTCGTGGCAACTTTATGTACAACAAAATTAAATGCTGCCCGGCCTCTGTACCATCCTCCTAATATTTGCCATGTTGGACCTCTTGTCACAGCCATTGGGTCAGCCCACTTCATTGGGAGGGGGGAGGGTACTTTTCCTCTTTTTTGCTGACCCTCTACAAGGACCAGTCCTTCCTGATAAGCTATGTAAAGTACATGAGAAGTCTCGCTCTCCTCACTTCTAAGGATCATTCTGGTTGTACTTCCAAGACAGATTATTTTCTTCTGGAAATCCATGGTGTTTTCAGTGCCCTTTCCCAACAACCCAATTAAAAGACATCAGTCCTTCAGTCCCTTATTCATTGTCCAACTTTGGCATGCATATGAGGCAATACCATGACTTGGGTCAAGACGCATCTAGTCCTCAAAGTGATATCTATGCTTTTTAACACTTTTAAGAGATCTTTTGTAGCAGATTTGCCCAGTGTGAAATGTTGTAAGATTTCTTGCATTTTACTGTATGTATATTTGACTTTTAAAAGACTTTAGCAAGTATTGAGCTCCAGTTTTTGTTGTTGTTTTGTTTTGTTTTACCCAATTCTGAAATTACTTTTTGTATATTCTGAACTGGAATCCTAGAGTGGTACTATAGGATAAGCTTCGACCACAAGGTTGGTTTGAACTGTAAGATCAGTGATTCAAATTCAGCAGCTGCTCCTTGAAAACCCTATACAGGGGTGCTGTGAGTCAGGACCGACTCAATGGCACTTAACAACAACAAACCTTGAGCAAATAAATAGAGAGAAACTAGGGTTCTCACTGTTGGAAAAGGGAGTTACAAGTATGTAAAGGGAAAGACTAAATCGTGCCGTATAGTATTATAAAAGGATTCATGAAATTAGTATGAATTTGTAATTTGTCATTGATAAATGACAGTGTTTGTATGTGGGTGTACACACACACACACACACACAACACACATAGCAGTTTGTACACAGAGAGAATCTAGAAATAATGAATGTACGTAACACCCAGATCTTGGTTTCTAAATACCATTATCCATTAAAAACACTTAGGACTAGTTATGGAAAAAGCTGTTCCAAGACTGGGAAAGTACAAGATGAGTCTGAAGCATCTGGTTGTACCAGAAAGATAGAAGCTCCCAAATAATTTTTTTGGTTTTGTTTTTGAGAGCTTCTAATACTAAAAGATGTGCCAGAAAACAACACAAGACATGGGTACCCACTTTAAGGGGTCAGACAAGCCAAAACTAGGGCAGTTTAAGCACATATAATAACAGGTAATAATAACCCGTTAGCGTAGTGGTTACGAGTTGGGCTGCTAACCTCAAGGTCAGCAGTTCAAAACTCTGCAGGAGAAAGGGGCTTTCTGCTCCCATAAAGAGTTATAGCCTCGGAAACCCTACAAAGGGTCGCTATGAGTTGGAACCAACTCCACAGCATTTAACACCACCAACATACTATATAAATTAAGGAGTAATAAATGTGGAAGAAAGGAAAATGTGTTACAATGGAATGACAACCGATAAATTTAGAAGGAATGATATTGTTGGAAAATCAAATCAGTGCTAAAATCGGGTGAAAGCTTAATAAGGAACCTAGTATTTGTGCAGCCCCAAAGTAACTCTTTATGAAATACCGACTAATTGTAAAGGAAAAATAGTGACTTAACAAATGAGAATCAGGTTGATACCCCCTTAGCCAAATAATATTGGGAGAGCCCAGCACCATGTAGTTGTGGTATTATACACTAAGAAATGTGCAGTATCACTTCTATGAAGTATTCCTGCTAAAAATGCACAATTGGAATCTAATCATGTGGAAACATCAACCTAATTTAAATTGAGGGGTATTCCTACAAAATGACTCATCTGTAGTTTTCAAAACTGTCCTAGTTAAGAACAAAGGAAGGCTGTTCCACGTTAGTGAAGACTAAAAGTTAGATGCAGTGGGTAATCATGGGTTCTGAGATCCTGGACTCATAGATCCTGGATGGGGGAAGGGGGATAAACTTTAAAAAGGACATTTTCTGGACAATTGACTATATTTGAATCTGGACTGTGGGTAGATAATGGTTTTGATTAATTTGTATTGTGGTATGTAAGAGAATGTCTTCGTTCTTAGGAAATTTATACCAAAGTATTTAGATGTCAAGGGGCATGATGTCTCCAATTTCAAATCACACAGGGGGACTTGTCTATGACACATACAGTGATAAAGTTAGTGAAGTCATAGGTAAACTCTTGCTGAATCTGGATAAAATATATGTGGGGGTTCTAATACAAATTTTCAACTTTCTAAAAGTTTGAAATTGTAACAAAATGAAAAGTTACCAACAAAATTAGATTAGTCTTTTCATTATCTTCTGAGTACCAGCACAATCCAGGTGATGGATTGTTAGAAAAATAGTGTTTGGGCTGTTTCTTTGGTTTAGCTACGCAGTTCCACTCTCTCCTCAGACTTTAGTCTGCTCCTCAAATTCTGCCTAAAAAAAACCAAACCAGTTGCTGTGGGGTTGACTCCAATTCTGGCTCCCAATATATTATTTTAATTGCCCTAGAAATCTCCTCATAAAACTTTCATAATTATTATGAAGTGCTCAGTTCCTATACACATTTATTGTTCGGACCAATAGTAGGTACGCATTTGGGAGCCTATTCTCATTTTGTTTATTTTGTCCTCAGCATATAGTTTGTTTTTGCAGTATCGTGGATAATGTGTTTGTTTTTTTTTAAATAATCATTGTTTAAAATTTTAAAATAGTCACTTCCCACTGAACAGCTTTACTGCTTTAGATCTTGACCAATAGCAGCTTCTTGTCTGACATTTGTGTTTGACCCCTTGGTAGAAGATTAAGTGGTAAGAGGTCTAACTTTAATTAGAACATATTGAACTATGTCCTCATCTGTGTTGTCAGCGCCAAGAACTAATGTCTAAATGCTGTGAAGCAGAACATGCCTGCTGTCCGCCACAAAGTGAGAAAGCCCTTTCTGAAACAGAATCCACTGTCAAAACCTAGCACTACTTTGTTGGCATTTGGGATTTTTACCTGTCCCATGGCTACTGTCTCATAGGAACAGCAGCTCTCCAGCAGAGGTAGTGTTGAATAGGTTTACTAAGAAAATCATGCAAACAGACTTCATGATGATTTACTTGGTATTTGTGTTTTCAGTCAGTTAACCAGTTTTCTTTCCTTTGTGGTGTATGATGGGATCTTCACTAGACAGAGGTAACCTATTGGATAGCTGTGTACCCAGATGCTGCTGTGTTGGTGCTTGTTGGTTTTCTTTCATGATACTCCTCCTGAAGTTCCGTTTGCAGTGCGGCTGCTGATTCTGTGCTCTTGCATGACATTATTACTTTGATTGCGCTTTGTTGGCTTAGGTCCTTAAGACCTATTTCTTTTTCCTTTTTTGGTACCCAGAATAACTCTGAGCATCTTTGCTTGGTCCAGAAGTGTAAAAACCCGTTCCAAGTCTAACTCTTTGATGGATCCTTTTCAGTTGTTGTTGTTTTTAATCTCTTCATTGTCACCACTCAGTTTATGATTTGGGTAGGAGTCCCGAAGACTAAACAGGGTTTTTTTTAACACCTGGGAGGAGAACAGTTTCTAGACAGGCCACTACTAAAACTGAAAAAGGAACTGGAAAGAGTAAAAGATAAGATTTTAAGAAATCAGTGCACCAAATAGTTGAGATTTAGGCACCTCCACCAAGGTAACAGTAAAATGTAACTCCATTAAATCAGGCCAAATATTGGCATGCATGTCTGTTTTGACTACTCTGCATATGCAAACTAACTGGGGTCATAAAGTGAAAATTAAAATGAATAATTCAGAAATTCATTTTCTGAGCATTTATGGGAGCCTTGGAAATAGTTGCTTACATCTTCATTTCTGATCACTAATAGAATAATTTTCCTTGACAGAACTGATGTCTTTTTAGTTTTTTTAAATTTGTTTCTTTTTTTTTTTCACTAATTTATGTATTTCTATACAAGAAGGCTAGTTGCTTTTAGAACAAAATCAATCCAAGTGGGCTTCTGTGTTTTAAATGGCAGGTCGTAAGATTGAAATTGTTACCCAATTTTTATATTAAGCCAGTGTTGACACAAACAAATATGTTTTGTCCTGTTATTTTCATCATCTTAAAAACTGTATAAAGGATCCATTAATTTGGAATGGCCATTAGAAAAATGCTTATGAGAAACAGCATAAAATGTCAGCTAAATGATGACTCTTCTCCTACAATTTGTTTTCTAATTCACTTTATGTTTTTTGTTATCTTTTGGTGTGACCTGGATATTTAATAGAAAATTTCTCAGGAACGAGAAAAATTTGCTGATGAAGGCAGTATATTTTACACCCTTGGAGAATGTGGGCTCATATCCTTTTCAGACTACATTTTCCTTACAACTGTTCTTTCTAGTAAGTATAAACTTTTCTTTATTCATTTGTGAGGCACATACGGAACTATAAAAAGAGTTCAGTTGATTGGAGGAAGAAGACAAAAGTTGATAGAGCTGATCAGTTATGGATTACATTTATTTTGAACTTTCTGTAATTTACAGTATAGAACCACGTAATAAGGGGAGAAAAAAAGAAAAAGTATAAAGGTAATATTAAAAAGAAATAAATTAAGACTATGAAATTCCATTTGATTGTCTGGAACTGTCTTCTGTCTAGATTAATTGTGTATTGCCTATTCTGATAGCTTATTTTGATTGTGTGGAATATGCCTTTTTTAACCTGGAAGGACTACTTCTGTAGTCTCAACTCAAATTTGACAATTTAGATCACTGATGAGTTTCTGATATTGCTTAAGTGAAACAACTTTGTATGCTACTCTTTTCCTATGTTTTATTTCCCTTTTGTGTGAAATTTTTTTTTTAACCAGGCAGAAAAAGAAAACAAAATGAATGTTCCTCCTTCTCTATGTGATTCTATTAAAATCCTCCTGGATTGAATTCACCAAAGAGTTCAGATTTGTAAGTTTGGAAGAGATAATTCTCAACTGTTTCTCCCTGGGACCTACCAACTGAAAATGACCAGTCCTTCCTCTTTGTTTCCAAGCCAGGTCATCTGTAAGATGAAAATACAGGACCATGTTTTATAAATGACAGACCCAGTTCCTGCCATCACTATGACCACATTTAGCCTTCCCTCTGTGTAAGGAGTGATAGAGAAATGAGGATGTACACTACTGTGCCTTCTCAGCTCTTTGGATGTCAGAGTAAATCCACATGATAGACTAGTACTGTGTTGTTGTTGTTATGTGCCGAGGAGTCGGTTCCAACTCATAGCGACCCTGTACAGGGTTTCCGAAACTAGTACTCTAGCAGCGTAAAAATACATTGATTTATTTCAAAGTTCAAAGCAGTAAGTTACATTTTGTTGTTGTTATTTATATGCCATGGAGTCAGTTCCGACTCATAGCAACCCTGTACAAGGTTTCTGAGGCTACATTTATTATCTTAAATTGTGTATTATTAGACTTAGCTATTATTTTGGTAGGGCATGAGTGGGTGTTTGGTTTGGTTTTTTGTTGTTTTTTTTTGTTTCAGTTCAAATCCTGGCCCTCACAGTACTTAGCTTTATGGTTTGGGACAAGTCACTGCTCTGCTTTGTCTATAGAATGCAGGTGGCAGGCAATAATACCAACTCTGGACAATTAAGGATTATCTGATAGTGTATATGAAGTACCTGCTTCCGTGTTTAGCATTCAGTAGCTATGCAATCTGTCTTGCTTTTATTTATTTTTTTTTTTTAAGGTTTTTATTGTGGATTGAGTGAAAGTTTATAAGGCAGATCATCAGTTTCACATTCAACAAATCATACATCTTGTTTCATTACAATGATTATAATCCCCTCCATGTACCATCAGTTAACAGTATTTCTTTCTATTCACTTTAGCTCTTTTTTTATTTTTTAAACACTTAGGCATATATAATAATTTATACCACCAAAGTACACTTTCTGCAAGTCTGCCTCCTGGCTGCTGTACCTTTGTCCCTCTCTTCCCGTGAATCTAGAGTCCTCAGGTACTCCCTCTCTCTATGTCCCCATCTCTGCCTCCATCTATGATATCTCTGCTTCTCTAGATAAGGTCTCACATTCTGCTTGTGCTCTTCTCCCTTGATGGTCCTAGGGTCCTCTGTTTCTGAACTGTAAGATTAACCATGCCCCCGTTTTTGTTAAAATTGGTTTTATTCTTGATATCCTGTTACCAGTTGCCATTGAGTTGACCACAACTCACGGTGACCCCATGTGTGAATGCATTCATACATTTACTCTGGTGGATAGTAGGGTCCTTCCTAATCAAAAACCAGCCAGAGCAGTGCACAGGGCATCAATCAGTCAGATGATGTGGGACTCTCTTACAGATGTTTTCTTTCAAAGTTAATGGAATCAATGATAGCCAGGAAATCGCTATCATTTTGAAGAGAAGAAAAGGAACACAGACATTCAGGATAACCATTTTGGCAGAAATGTTTACAATAAGTTGTGTCATGAATTTCTTAACTCTTCTATAACCATACAGACATACACTCTTATTCAGATAATGAATAATGATAACATAGGAGCTCTGGTAGCGTAGTGGTTACGAATCGGGCTGTGAGCCACAAGGTCAGCAGTTCGAAATTGCCAGCTGTTCCGCGGGAGAAAGGTGAGGCTTTCTGCGCCTGTAAAGATTTCCAGCCTCGGAAACCCTGTACAGGGTCGCTATGAGTCGGAACCGACTCGACGGCACTTAACAACAACAACAGAGAGACCTTCACACACTCACACAAACACACTTAAACAAACTTCCTAAAATTTTTCTTTGCCATTTATCACTATTTAATGTTCTACATAGCTTATTTCTTTATCTTGCAGATTTCCTTGTTGTTGTTGTTAAGTGCCATAGAGTCTGTTCCGACCCCTAGTGACCCTGTATAGTGTTTCCGAGGAGCAGCTGTTGAGTCTGAACCACCAGCCTTGCGGTCCAGCACATTCTCGTGCGGCGCTACACCAGGACTTGATAACAAGCACATTTTGTTTCAAGTCATTGATAACAATCCTTACATTGTAGCACCATTTATCAATTTTCTTAGGATTTTTTTTTAAATATGGAAAATTCATCTATGCAAATGAATGAAAAGGCTAGTAAGAAAAACTGGTTTCCTTATGGATACAGAGTTATGAAGTCTTCAAAATACAGTCACATCTTATTTTCATTATTAGACACAATTTGCTTCTTTAGTTTCTGTTCTCCCCTTGATCTTGTTCAGCCTCACAACTAGTCCCAAGCAATTGTTTCCTAAGAATTTACTAGTATTGTCACAGGCATCCTCACTGAGCCCTTTACTGCTGCTGCTGCATCAATCCATCTCACTGGGGATCTTCCCTTGTTTAGTTGATCCTCCAATTTACCAAGTGTAATGTCCTTCTCCAGTGACTGGTCCTTCCTCATAAAATGCGGGAAGTATGAGAGATGAAGTCTTCAAGGAGCTTCCTTCCCATCAAGGAACGTTCTGACTATTCCTCTTCCAACACAGACCTCCTTGCTCTTCTGGCAGTCCATGGTACTTTCAGTATTCTTCTCCAACACCATTACTCAAATTCATCTGTTCTTCTACTGCGGTCTTCCCTATACATTGTCCAACTTTCACATGGATTTGAGGCAGTTGCAAATACCATTGCTTGGGTCAAGTGCATCTTAGTTCTCAAACTGATATCTTTGCCCTTGGACACTTAAAACAGGTCTTGTATAATAGATACAACCGAAAGGAGAAGCCCATGCTGCACTGAAGGAATGGGTGAAAAGGCTCCAGGAATGGATTCAGTACCAACTGAAATCTTTTAACAAACTTATGTAGCACTAGAAGCACTCACTGATGTATGCTACCTGTTCAGCTGACTGGAAGAGATCCATATTTGTGCCCATTCCAAAGAAAGATGACCCAGCAGAATGCAGAAATCATCTAGCAATATCATTAATATCATGTGCAAATAAAATTTTGTTGAAAATAATTTTAAAATGGCTGCAACAATACATCAACCTGGAGCTGTCAGAAATTCAAACTGGATTCAGAAGAGGATGTAGAACTAGGGTATCATTCCTGACATCAGATGGATCTTGACTGGAAGCAGAGAATACCATAAAGTTGTCTACGTGTGCTTTATTAACTTTGCGAAGGCTTTAAACTGTGTGGATCATGACAAGCTGTGGATAACAACATATTAAAGAATGGGTTTTCCAATGTAAATCAACTGTCTAGGGATATTAGTCTTGCTC